GCTGTCTACAAATAAAGAGATTTTTTTTTGATTTTGTCAAGGAGATTTATTGATAATCATCGATTAAAAACTTGAGACAAGAGTTTGGTAGTTTGAGTTGTTTTGACACGACCAACAAATTGAAGAGATGTCATTACAACGTGGAGAGGTACCTGAGTTGATATGCTCTATTATGTTGGTGATATTAGGTGTAGCGCGAAAGCTGTTCCTAAACCTCTTTAATCTCAATTGTGGTTTATTGATTGCTGGCGGAAACTCTAACTTAATCCATTACTATTCTATTTAAGTTTTTCAACAGTTTTCGTTTGAGAAATTCTCAATTCTTCAATGTTATAACTTTTAATTGTGTCATTTCGTTCGATCCAATATTCCAATTCATTTGAGCAAAGACAATAAAGACAGTGTTTGAATAGAGTTTGCGAAATTTGAAATTACGGAAACCTCTTGAGAATTAAGTCTTCAAAAGTGGCAAATAGTTAAAAAAGCCACCTGTGGCTTGATAAATTTTCTACATGACGTGACGTCAAAAGTAAAGTCGGTAGCTTTGAGAGAAAGCTCGTGAAGAGCACTTCCCACATTTAGAGGCGACAACCATTAAATCGGACTCCTTTTCACACCAACGGTCACCTTACTTTCTACGTCCGGACCTGTAAACCGCAAAGCCGGCCTCTTGAGTCGTGTTTGTCCAACAAATGGTTGAAAGGATGTCACCTGTGCTAAATTAAAAGCTTTCAGCGACTTGGCGTTTATTTATTTGATAAATTGCTGGGTTTATTTATGGCCTAGGTGGCGGAATTAATCTAATCTTTATCACACGTAGAGTGTTTGCCAAAGTTGACCCGACCATAAATTTTAACGAATTTAACAACCCAACTTCGATACTATAAAGACCCAAATAAATCATTCACACTTAGGTACATTTACCGGACGAAAAGCTTCACTTTCACTTTAGAAATTGCAGTTCAATTTTTTTAGAGGCGCACGAAGAAAACTCGTCAATTTTTACAAATATCGTTCTTCATCGTAGCCTGCAATTTTTTATACCAGATTTTACCCCAACAAGCTTCATTTAGTGGCCGTTCTACCACTTAATCGACTTACAACACATAAATCCATAATCGCAATAGGATGAAAAATACGTTTAGGTTTGTTTTGAAAGAAACGTCACCATTTTAATTTACGACTGGTTAAAAGCTAAACTAAGAGTGATAATTAAAATCAACAAAAGCGATCATAACATTATTGATTTTTTTATGTTACTCACTTTTTTTATACATACCAGGTGAATAAAAAGTATGGAAACAAACATTTTTTGCTTAAACTATTAATTTTTTGGAAAAACTAATTGATGGATAATAAAGTACTATAAAAATGTGTTGTTTTATCAAGAATAACATTTTTTGAAGTTTTCTTTTGTTTTTGAGTTGTACAAAAAAAAAATTTTTTAGTTTTTTTAATGGCAACCCACTATAAAACCATTTTTCTCATAAAGGTTATGATCTAAGGATTATAACTATCTACCTAATACTTAATTAAAAAAAAAATTACATTAATTGCTATTTTGACAAAAAAATCGCATAAGTCAAAAACAAAACAAAATTTCGTTCTCAATTTTTTTATTACTTTAATTTATATAAATTATTATTTTGTGAAGGCAAATGATTAAAAAACCGTTTAGTTCATGCTTAATATTCGCCCTGTATAATAAAATATTGTAAGTTAAACGTAATGTATTCTTTTAAAAAAGACCCCGTATAAACCTAATAAGCTATAAAATCTAATAAATTCAATTTTATAAATGACAAAGAATGTTAATCAATTCTCTAACACTTTTTTAAACAACGTAAGCCAATGTTGATGGGAAAACACTTTACTTTTCTTTTTGCATAATACCAATATCCCATTTTCTCATCAAAGAAATCTTTGTCAATAAAGGAAGTGTGCATAATTGAATATATTCGAACAGTGGAATAATCCGAATTTCCTTTAAATTTACGTTAAGGCCACTTATTATACGAGTCTTGTTAGGTTTCAATCAGCTCGGATAACTGGGATTTTAGCCTTAACATTAATGTGATTTGACTTAGATATCGACACGCTGTAATCATATTAAACCGATTGGTGAGCTAATAAAGTTAGTTTGCTTAAATGTAAAAATGGTGGATGCGCCGGGCCAGAGTTTTTCTAACAAACAATTTTATTATTTATGAGGAGAAAGTGACAGTAGCATTAAATATTCGCTGCTTCCGACTAACAATTTTAAGACAAGATCTCTTTTATTTTTTAATATATTCAGCAAAGTTTTAACTGTCTTGGAGGTAATTAATTTGTGAAAATTCTTTTATTCCGTCTTGCTAAAAGTTAATGGTTGTAATAAGCGTAGACCAAGCTTTTAACACCCTCTAGGATAATTGGACGATTTTGACACGATCAATGGTATTAACACCTCAGGTGAAAATTTAATAACTTGTAAGCTTCACATATTAACATCAAAGACTGTCGTTTAATGGAAACGTTTAAATTAAATGCATTATTATGACCGATGTTACCAATACAAAAATTTAATCCAATTGTTTTATGGATTTAATAAGCACGTAACGATTTTATTTTTATGATGAAATCCCAGTCGTTGAAACTTACATTTCGTAAGACTAAAATGATAAAATTATTAGTTTATAATTCGATCAATCATTTAATCTTTCATCAAATTTCAAGAGAATTGAACATAAATAAAATTATGGTGACACTAATTGCTGAAACTCCAATTTATGAACCTTTGTGTATTTACTCGCAAAAAATCAGACGATTTTATGATTGTTATTGATATATATTCCCAAAAGAATCGGAGTGAAAACGCAAAATGCATTAAGGTACTTTCAACTGAAACGAAAAATAATTTCGAACAAAGCTCTCAGTAATATGAAAATAAATACCACTTTGTTAAAAATCAGTATTAATTTGAAAATATAAGATTTGTAATAGTTTTTTTGTAGTGAATCATTGTTTGAAATAACAACCAGTTTGAATCTACAAGCAGAGTTCGCCTTTGAGTCAAGACAAATTATTGTGCTAACAAAGCGATACATTACAGACATAAGTACGCACAAGATTTGTGGGAGGTTTTTATGAGAGTCATTTGTTACAGTTAAAACATGCAGTTAGATTATTTCAAAGAAAAATAGGTTACAATAATTTGAATATTGATTTTTGGTCACAATTTGCTCTATACTGCCGAGGATGTTTAAAAAAATAACAATTTTAGCTCGTCTAAAGTTCAAATACTTATATACTTTTTCAAGCAAACTCAACAACCTCACGAGAGTACAAGTGGTTGAATCCTTGATTACAGAAAGACCTAAATAATGTACTTGTGTTACAAGTCCTTTCTACAATCACCGAACAAACTCTACTAAACTTTGATTGCAAACTAGTCTTGCAATAGAGATTTTATAATTAAATTATAGTTTACTTTGATGTTAATTATGCATTCGATGAAAAGCAAGATTGGGAGTTTTCTTACAATAAGTCACTACTACCTTTTGATGAAGTAAATCTTGATATGCATTATATTTACTTACTCAGGAAGTTTCCTCTTAGTGTTCTTTTCAATTTATTAGTCAAACTTTTCTAGAAGCTTTTAACAGTAAAGTTAGTAATCCAAATGGCTGAAATTTAAGCCTGTTAGTGACGAAAACTATAGAATATTAATCAAAGAAAGAAAGTTGTAAACAAATTTTACGAATGTAAGAAAACACGAGTCGTAAGTGTAAAGATTATTAATTAGAATCCAGTTATATTACGTGGTTTCAATTTGCAAACACCTGCTGTAAATAAAGTTTTCCAATTTAAGTTTTTCCTGAATTTTATTGAATCCTCACAGATGAATAAACCGAGATACTCAAACACACAAAATATTTTCTTTTTAATGTGTTTATTACATACCTTCTTTTAATGTTTTCATTACCTAAAGATATTAAAGAAAGAAAAAGTATTCGACAATTTTTGGATATCACTCCAAAAGTGTCATAAAGCGAATCTTTTCAGTCAGTCTCCATTCATTTTCTGATTATCAATTTTTATTACCATGTTTGCAGACAAACATGGTCCACTTTTATTCAATTTAAACAATATTTGAATTAGTTTCTGCGTTTGTATTTGCTCTTAGTCTGCTCATATTCCATAGTGCTAATTTTCCTTTGATATTCTAATTGGTGGCTTCGCAAATAATGCTAATAAATGTCATAGTCACGGCAAAGCTGCAGTCAAAATTTAGAATATTATTGACAACAGTGATAATGTTTAAATTAACATTTTTCTACATTTATTGTATTTTTTATTCCAATAAATTTTAAACTTGGCATTCGTTCGTAGTTCATATTATACAAATCTTTGCCTTAAACTTTTGTTTTATATGGAAAAACTATTGAATTGTTGTTTTCAATAGAATGAAAAAATTACAGGGTGCTTCAAAACTCGCGCCCCAGAGAAAAATTCCAAGTCAGATAAGATACCAAGAATATGAAAAAAGTGAAAAAATTTTGACATTTATTTTTTTAACATTTAACTTTTTTATGTCTATTAAGTGTTATTAATGATCTTGCATATGTTTTTTCATAATTATTTAGTAAAGGTACAAAAATTCTGCTAATAAAATAACGTTAAACATCGTTGGAATTTAAGCTTCCTTGTTTCCTCTTCTAATAACCTGCAGCAAAACAACATGAAAAATAGAGTCAAAGTGTGTGCAAAATTAAAAACTCCCATAATTTCGAAATTTTTAGATAGAATTTATTTAACATTTTTCTATGTTCCTAAAACCTCACCTTGGCATTTTTCTCTGGGGCACGAGTTCTGAAACACCTTGTATACATATAGAAAAAAATAATGCAGTTTTAGTGATTCTAAAAATTTTTTATTTTGTTCTCAAATATAAACCACAACAAACGTGTTTCATTTTAAGCTATACTCGAATTTTGTAAATGGAACAAAAAATACACAGATATGTCTGAATAAACTTTATTAAACATTATTTGTGTGTTAGGTATTTGCCAGCGTTCAGTTTTATTAAAGCTCTCAGCTTCGCTTCGAGCTTCAATATAAAACTTCACGCTGTAAAATTATACCTACCGCACGTATAATGTATATAACTATTCTAAACACGTATTTAAACAATACATTTATTTTCTTAAGTACATTTCTGTCCAAAAACTGACATACAAATTGACAATCTATGGCAATATTGCAAGCACCTTCACTACAATAGTGTCTAAATGATCTAATTTTGTTCAAATTCTTTTGATAAATAAAATATGGGCAACTCATCGACCAGAGGCTGGGAGTTACAATGCCTAGTATTTTTATGTTTCAGTAGACACGATTTTAGCGAAAACTTCTCCCCACACGTGTCACAAATGTAGGGTTTCTCTCCCGTATGAGTCCTCATATGCACTTGCAAATGCGTCGATTGCGTAAACCTCCTATTACACCAAGTGCACTCAAAGTTTTTAATCCCGAGGTGAATCCGCATGTGTCTTTGCACACCGTTCGAAAACGGAAAACTCTTCCCGCAGATCGTGCACAAAAATGGGGTTCGTTTGGTTTTATGACCGGGAGGCGCGTCGTGCGACTTGATGTGTCTCCTCTGCGAGGACAGTCTTTGAAACTTTTTTTCACAAATGGGACAGGAGTAGTTTTTTTCGCCCGTATGGGACGTAATGTGTTCTTTTAGGTGGTAGGACTGTTTGAATTCCTTACCGCAATAATTGCAAATAAATTTGCGAAAGTCGTTGTGGACTCGAGTTAAGTGTTTGCGCAATTGCCAGTTTTTGGAGTACTCAGTTGCGCAATGATCACAGCGAAACTTTTCATTTGAGGTTGGGGACTTTTTAGTGTTGCGTTTTGTTCGTTTTTTACTAACACTGTCACTTTTGGCAAAACCGTCAAAATCACTGTCACAATCCGATTTTACGTAATTCTCACTCTCATCAAATTCTTCTTTAATGGCATCCCTTTGCAATAAATCTTGAGATGTTAAAACCTGCATGTGAAATTTGTAACTTATTCGAAGATATTTTATGCAAAGTGGACACATCTCCATACTATCAGTCTCTATCTGAAACACAATTTCCGTAATAAATAATCCCCAAAAAGAAATGAAATCACTTACCAAGTTTGTTGTCACACAAGTTTTTAATTTTTCTAAGTAAGAAATCATGTCGGTGTCAAAATCTCGCACATTGCTGTATTTCTTATGATCAATTTTACGACACGTGAAACATATTTTAATCTCAGTGCTCATTTTTAATTGCTTTTACTTAAATTATTTAAAAACTGGTGTTTTGAGGTTATTTAATAACAACATTTGACAGAACTCTCTGTTGTAAAACAGACTCTCTACTTTATCGATCGTGTTTAACGCGCGGGCGCATCTCCAATTTTAAAAATCTTTCAAGTAAAACTTCTTCCACTTCATTTTATTTAACCAATAAACGCGTAATTGTCTCTACTTAGTTAGATATTCAGGATCCTCTAGACCAGATAATGGTAAATGTGATTGTATGCATAATTCCGCAGAGTTGCTAGTGTTAATCCTGAATTTAAATTGGTCTTTAGGAAATAAATTAGCACTTGATAGGTATGAAAAAAAAAGAAAAATGTGTCCCAAAAATGTTCTCTCAGAAAAGCAAGATAAATGCAATCGTTTAAAAAAGATTGTCGGTTACTAACAAGAAACTTTACCAACAATTTCACATCAAAGCCGGTGAGGTAAATGCTTCACAATTTCACAAGAAAAGCGAATACCTGCCTAGCATCTTTTAAATTTCATTCTCAAAATTGCGGAGAAAACAAATAAATTAATTTCAAAGCTAAATTATGAATTTTAAAATGTTTTAGATGAAACTTTGCTTCTTTTGAGAAAACATAGTACTGGATGTTTTAACTGAGATTTCTAAATTTTAAAATCATGTTTATTGCTGAGTTAAATAATAATCTAAACGTCCAAAGTAGTTGACCAAGGAACACTCTTTGTATTACTAAACAGCTTTTTATAATAAAGTGGTTTACTGTTTTAATTCATTTAATTAAATATGTTTTGTTGTCGTTTATGTTCTTAAAAAACTACTAGAACAGAGAGAAGAATTTTCCGATGCTGAACACATGATGGCTATGACGTTGCAGACTCTCGTAGACTTTAATTCAGTTCAAATTGGTTGTACAAATATTTCCGATATTTTTTGATTCAATAAAGCCCAGCTAATTGAGTCAATGAACATTTAAGAAAAAATAAATTGGTACAATCAGGTACCCATCAACAGTTTTTTTCGCCATATTAGACTTATTATAAATCTGGTGGAAACAATTTATGTCAACATTTCGTGAAAATCCTTATGAAAAAGTTCAAACACATGAGATTTTGACACTTTGTCGGCAAACTTTAATATGCTCTCTATATGCAAACCCACACATGATGCATTAGGTAAGACAAGCCATAAAAGTAAATGTTGAGATAAAGAACATTGCTTGAATCAAGCGTTGTAAATATTTTACGACTTGAAAGAGCTATTGGCTTAGTTACCGAATTAATTAAACTTTGCAAAATGTACTAATTCCAAGTTGCTACAAAAAATGCCATTCTCTGAAAGGTGTTCGATAGAAATTGCGTGTGCTATTTGATCAGGCTTTTAATCAAATCTAGCCGCTCCGGATAGCAAACAGAACACTCGTATTTATTCCGGTAAATAGGACGTAAAAAGTTTGACCTGCTAAATAGGTCAAAGCATCATCACCTGGGAGCTTTGACCACTGAAGCTCGCACGGATTATATGCTAAAAGCAAACGTTTGGATTTCTCATGTTAATAACCGCCGACGTTTGATTATCGCAAATCCAAACGCATTAATTTCCACAATAAATTCTAATAAAACCAAAGGTTTATGCAAGTCACAAATCAACCGAATCTTTTAATCCGCGAAAGCCGCACCTGCGAGTTTTTGTCATTATACATAAATAAACTGGAGACACTCTTAGGCAAACACAAGTTTCTCGTTCCCTTCAATGGTCTTTCAACAGGTGCTTTGAGGCTTTGAAAGCGCAATCTAGGCCGTCTGCGCCAATCGTATTCTCAAACTTGTCGCAAATAATCAACTTTTTCAAACGTGTTGAGAATTTTATCTTTTAAACAATCAGAGAGTGATGTATTTGTCCGTTAACGAACGTGTCAGCCTACACCTGTTATCCTGCGAAATTTCCTATTCTGATAAATCGTGAACACAAGTGTTTACAGCATTCCTGTAAAATAGATTGGAACTGGCAGGAAATACCGAATGTTAAATTTCCAATTTAAAAAGCGATTTGGATGAGCTCAAACTGGTTATTAATCATTACGAGATGTTTTAAAACATTACAGCACCCACAAAAACTTTTTTTGAAATATAATTAATAATCGATAATTCAATTTCAGTTAGAAACTGAAAAATCGTTCAGTCTTTGTCAATTTCTGGCGTATTAAGCTAATTGAGTATTTTACTAGATGTAATCAATTTTAACCAAATTCTTCAGCTAATTACAAAATTACACAATATATTTCACTCACTGTTAATTAATCATAAGGTATGACAAGCTTCTTTTTGATAGTCACATTGCATTAGTCATCTCTATGTAATCAAAATTTAAGCATCTCATTTTAAAATAAACAATTAAACGCATTTGCAAAATTTGTCAGTTTTTGTTCACTGAATTTGCAAATTTTTATAACACATATTTGTTCTTTTTCGTTCGAATAATCACGTGTTTTTCATTGAACTCATGAATATTGAAGGAATTTTAAAGTCAATATTGATTTTTTAATTAAATACAATTTATTGTTATTCAGTGAAGCACAATTCAACATTGCGGAAGGTTAGTTCTATTTTAACACCTGTTAAGTGAAAAGTTTGACCCTTGCCAGTGTTTCTCTCAATAACATTCAGTTATTCAAATGCAATTAGGCTAAACGATTTTGACTTTATTTGTATTATAAATATTATTTATTTTATTTATAACCAATTTATCTAGGAAAATATTTTTTTCTGCTTTTTTCCAATAAATCTCAAATCTTTTTAAAAATCACTACAATTTTCTGTCAGTTTTCTATAAGTAACTAAACTAAAATTTAATTTTAAATCTAAAAGCGTGAATTTCAGAGACGAGCGTATTATTTATTTTATTTGTATCCAATGTTTCTATGATTGATATAAAAAGTTTTTTGTAAGTATAAGTAAAATTTATTTACTTCTAATCTAAAAATGTGTATAAACTTCAGAGACGAGACTACAAATCAATCAATTTTGCACTACATTTTACCCAATTAACAAGTTTATGTAAAGGAAATTTTTATGGATTTGGCCTCGTATCGTATATTATGACCTAACCCAATTTATATTATAAATTTTATTTTAATGAAATTCGAGTAAAAATACTCTATTTCAGTGTTATCGACTCTTTAATCTCCTAAATATGTGTAAACACTTAGCTTTATAGCAAATAGAGAGACCGCAGAATAAATTATGTTTAATCGAATTTTACATTAGTTCCGGTTTGATATTTATATCGGGTGTTCCATATGTATTTTTGCTACTAGGTGTCATTTCCCAGATGAAAAAGCTATTAGCTTATAAAAATGTAGCAAATTAAACAAATCAATTTTTTTCAGATTTCATTTATTCACTCATTAGTTTCATTTTAATTCTAGCACTAATTTAAAATATTGAACATCTTGTAGCAAGTTCAAAAGCATTTTTTGTAACAAAACTAATTGAAAAAGTTTTGTGGGATACCTCAGGTATCCAATGTTGTGCAATGTTTGTCAATAAACACCAATAATATTATTACCTTTGTGTTTGCTTCTACATACATAAATTTAATTATTTTTTTTGCATGAGCCAATATTGGCACATTTTGGTTACTCTTGAAATTAGAGCCAAATAGACGTAATTCATACCAAATCATCACTTTATTAAAAGATTGCAATGGAAAATTTTCTAACAAGCGAAATATTAGAAAAGAAAATAATAAACCGAACTCGAAATTTCAAACAAAATTAATTCATCTATTAGTACATATATCGCACGTTTCGTTTGTCTAGGTCACATGACCACCATTAATCTTCACACTTCTACATATATAATTGTGGAAGATTGGAAACATTTCACAAATGTACCATTTTATCATGGCATTAACGTCAAATGTGCCATCATTTTACCGAAACTGAGTGTAAAATAAAGTGGTTTGTTTGCTCTTGGTGCGTTTATGAAACATCAAATGTGAGTAGGACTTGATTTTATATTTTTTTAAAAGGGCAATTTAGGCGGCTTTTTTATTGATTAAACCAATCAAATGAAATTCTAAATAAAGAATAAAAATAAAACGACCGTGACAATAGCTGATTATCTCGTTAAAATTAACATCAATTAGTGGTAAATTTAGATTTATGTTACGCGAAAGTGGACTCTTTACATTAGTTGACATTCACAATTCTTTCATTTGGCGTTTTTATTGCGTAAGTTTTGTGATGAATGGGAATAGGTAAATAACATATAGTAGATGGAAATATATTTTCAGAGATAATAAAATGTGGATAAATACGAGTTTATATTTAGATCATTATGAACACGTTATGAACGTGCAAGTCTTGACATATCAGCATAATTACTAGGAAAATAAATATAAAGAGTTGCTAAATCACTTTATTAGGAAACATAAACCGCAATTAAAATATCTCAACAGGATAAAAATAACCTTTCAACTCGTCGCCTTCTTCTCCTGATAATTTATTAAATTTTCCATTTTGGAATTGTTTTCTTCATGTTCGTAATGATTATCCCTAAAAAATCAGATTTGTGACGTCAAGAACTCATTTCACCCTCTTACTCTTTATTACCCCCTTACCGGCTAATGTTTCACACTCTTTATGAATATCGAGTTGTGGCTTAGTACTAAATAAAGTTCTTATGTCAATGAGGTGAGATTTCATGGCGCTTTCAGCCCATAAACAAGATTAAGTTTACAAAAACCGACCATAAAAGATGTGTTAGAAAAATCGGTGCTTTGTATGTGTACCTTAAAGGCAACTACGTGCAAAAACTGTCTACTGTGCGATTTGCATAACTCGATCACTTTTGTATGTTTTTCGTTTCACGACTGGCTTTTTGGTAAAGCAAGATGAATAAATAAAACCTTGGCTTCTTCCAAACTCATCAAAAGCATAGTTTTAGTCTGGTAGAAAAAGACCGCAATTTTATGAAGCCAGTATTTATTCAGCTCTTTGTAGATTTTAATTTTGCAATCTCAATGATGAGATTTCAAATAGGTTTGATGTGTGCGTCAGACAAACAATTTTAATGCAAACAAATGATTG